GTATGTCACTGAACTTCTCTTAACCGACTGGACCGATTTTGATGAAATTTTTTGTGCATATTGGGTAGGTCTGAGAATAGGACAACATCTATTTTTCATCCCCCTAAATGTTAAGGGTAATCCACCCCTAAATTTTTACTTTTTAGATATTTTTTTTTAAATTTTTTTCTGATACATCATACACAAATACATACAACCCTAAATTTTCAGCCTTCTACCACCAACCCCTATTTTTTTATGGCGGTACGAAGTTCGCTCGGACAGCTAGTTTAACATAAAATTTTAATTAAAAAAAATGACTTTGAAACTGATCCGACTATTGCAAACTTGACACGTGCTATTAAAAATAAAGTACCTATTATTCCGACTTATTATTTGCTATAAACTCCAGCTAGTGACTGTCCTTTTGGAGAGCTCATCTCTTCTTTAAAGCCTCTATTGGCTTCTATCTGTCCGCAAATTTGACCAGTCATAGACTAAAATGCTTTTATTTCAGAATCGCTTACGAAGAATACAAATATTTCCAGTGTATTCGATGTTAATCGCTCCCGCTCTGATTGTTGAAGTTATACTTCTTTAGGCGCGTTATGAAAAAATGATGAGAGTGAAATTTTAAGATGCGCGCGCATCACTGTAACACAAAATTTTAACAGCATGAAGTTAGTCGCTTTAGCGACCAACTTCATGCGTTACTTTTGTGTTTACCGCACATTAAGAAAATCTACCAACAAAATAGAAATAGAATCTCTATTTAGTGGGTGCTAACGACTGCATTGTGAAGGCCTATCAAAAGTATTTATTAATCTGGAACAACGGAACCAAAGCGCAATTCAGGAGACTACAACGCCATCTCTTGACCATTGGTGTAGTAGAACCAAAAACCACATCTTTATTTTTTGCAATAAAGTAACAGTTATAGGTATTCATATTTATAATATCAAAAGTATTTATTAATCTGGAACAACGGAACCAAAGCGCGATTCAGGAGACTACAGCGCCATCTCTTGACCATTGGTGTAGTAGAACCAAAAACCACATCTTTATTTTTTGTAATAAAGTAACAGTTATAGGTATTCATATTTATAATATTTATCCACATGTTTCTAGTTTGTATATTCGGAATACGTGTTTGAGTTTCATACAAGTGCAAATCACATATGTTCTAATAAATTATATTCAGTAGCGATTTTAATTGAATATTTTGATTATTTATTTATTTTTTCAAATTGAAACTGAACTTTATTGACTGTGTCCTTTTCCAGACTATTTATTAATTTATTGTAATTAATTATTTGCATGCAATTAAAAACTAATTTTAAACGACGCCAAAGAAGGATAACTTCTCACGCGCCTACATAAGTACACGCACCCATTTTTTTGATAAATAGATGTTTTTTGTTATGTGAAAAGGCTGGCATGCAAGCGTTTGGCTCGCCTGATGGTAAGTAGTTACCATAGCCAATAGACGCTTGCAATACCAAAAATACTCGCTCTATTGACTACCCTGACTCAATCCTCTACCTCGTGGAACATTGGAAACTTACTCACCGACAGAACCACATCATCCCCATAAGGAAGTGCGTTAAGTGGAAATTTTACTGTCATTACATCATCACCAGCCTATTAATGTCCCCACTGCTGGGGCACAGGCCTTCCCTATGGATGGAATAAGGGGATTGGGCTATGACTCACCACGCGGGCCCAGTGCGGATTGGCGGATGCTACCGACTGCAGATGCAGCCGGGACCAACGGCTTAACGTGCCTTCCGAAGCACGGAGGAGCTCAAGATAGTAAAATTTTGGTCACCCATCCAATGACCGACCACTGCGAAAGTTGCTTAACTTCAGCGATTGCAGCCGAGCGCGCTAACCACTTGCGCCATCGAGCTCCTCATTTTACGGCGGGCGCTCCAACTCGAGCGGGTAATCCTCTTTATCTACCCTATTTCTCTTGGTACTTTTATTCACATCAATATACAGACATACAAAAACTGATAAGCCGTATGTGTACATCGACCTTTAAGGGAAAATGCAGCAGTGTCGCTTGCTGGTGAGCGCATACGCTAATATAAATCATAAGGTGTTCCGTTTCACGAATAAAATGTGTATCTATTATTTTAACTGATTTTAACATAATCTGTGGCGGTCGTGCGGCTGGAGCTTTTGTTCTTTGCAAACGTAAAGCGAAGGAATAACACAATGAATTTTGCACATAACCTACCTTTCTGTAGAGAATAAAATTTTTCATAATAATTATTTTGGAGAATATTAAGGAATATCTTGTACCACGGCGAGTGTTCATAGGAGTTATTCTCTCTTATTCCACCTTCCCCTTTCCTTCAGAGGACCACGCGCGCTGGCCTACGTTGCCAATGACTAACTGTGGCCACTATTCCAACGTGTCCAAAGAAATTTGGTGACTCATTTCTTAGTCGCACTATCCGTTAATGGAATACTCTGCCCACTCATGTGTTTCCTCCCTCTTACAACCTGGGATCCTTTAAAAGAGGCGTGAAGAAGCAACATGCAGGCAGGTAGAACTGCTGTATTAGCTATCTTCGCGTCTGGACTTCACCGTCACTTAATATCAGGTGGGGTGAAGTCATTTGTCGGACCTAACTATAAAAAAAACTTTTGGAAGGTATGCCCTTTCTGTAGAGAATGACATTTTTCATAATATTTTTTTTTTTAGAATATTAAGAATATCTTGTACAGTATAGCGAATTCTAACTGTTTGAATGAGACCTGAGATTGGCCTGTTTTTTTATTAGATTTGCTGAACTTGATCTTTAGAACTGGTCGAGGTATCTCATCGCCAGCCTTCAAAAAATAATTTGAGATACCCAAATTGTAATTACGTTTTAAGTTTATCATCACAGCCTATTAATGTCCCCACTGCTGGGGACAGGCCTTCCCTATGGGAATAGGGAGATTGGGCCGTGACCCACCACGCGGGCCCAGTGCGGATTGCTGGGTGCTAACGCTGTAGATACAGCCGGGAGCTTAACGTGCCTTCCGAAGGACGGAGGAACTCGAAATTTTTGGTCACCCATCCAATGACCGATCTATCGCAGCCGAACGCGCTAACCATCTACGCCATCGAGCTCCTCTTTCAGTTTATATCTCTTATGAAATATGAAAGTACCAATTCAGTACCCTTAGTACGAGTTTACAATTACGAAAACTATGATAGTTTTCGTGAGCTCGCACTCGTACTAAGGGTACTGATTTAATTGTTTTCGTTTCATTCCAAATAAACAATGTTTAAATTCTATCTTTAAATCATATGCGTCTTCTTAAATTTTACTAATATTAGGTTGCTTTTAGGAGGAGCTCGATGGCGCAGGTGGCTAGCGCGTTCGGCTGCGATCGTTGAAGTTAAGCAACTTTCGCAGTGGTCGATCATTGGATGGGTGACCAAAAATTTACTATCTCGAGCTCCTCCGTGCTTCGGAAGGCACGTTAAGCCGTTGGTCCCGGCTGCATTTGCAGTCGTTAGCACCCACCTATCCGCACTGGGCCCGCGTGGTGGGTCATGGCCCAATCTCCCTATTCCATCCATAGGGAAGGCCTGTGCCCCAGCAGTGGGAACATTAATAGGCTGATGATGATGATGATGATAGGTTGCTTTTCACAAAAATGGACATAGAAACATAATTTACAATTACGAAAATTATGATAGTTTTCGTGAGCTCAAACTCATACTAAGGGTCCAGATACACATGGAGTAGTTTTCTCTCTACTTGAAGATATTCTGTCCTGAACTAAATGCCTTTTGTTTGGGTATTCAAATGTCACATACTTATTGCATGTATTCATGTTACGTAAGTAATACTATGGTAGTCTAAAATGTTTGGCACAAACATTTTTGTGAACAAGGATCCTTTTTTAAGTTATTTATAATTATTGCGATTGTTATATAGCAATAGGGTTTTTGTCACTATTAAAAATAAAGTGCCAATTGTTAGCATCTGTATTTAGAATGAATATTGGCAGGGGTTTTTACTATTTTTACAAAAAAAATATTCATAATTTTACGAAAAACCCACGAAAAAGATAATAGTTTTCTTATCTATTGTCACGTGACCCAAAACGCTTGGGATTGGCGGAGCCTAAAATGACGTCACACGCAAGTAAGCTTCCGGTTAAAGTGACATTACATTGTATCGTTTGACGTTTTAATAACAGTCGTGTGACGTCACACACTAGTAAGACGCCATATTGTCCAGAAAAACGTTTTCGCGGCAACTTGAAAATGGAGTTCTTGATTTGGTTATTTTTATTGAAATACACAACAGAATGATTAATTATGGACTCCGTAAACATTAGTCAGTAAAGTGAGATCGTTTTCTAAAACTTGTCAAATACCCTATTTATTTATTTTAACTTTTAACATTGGTATGAAATTCTACGTACTTGAATCTGATTTCGGAATTATTCACAAAAATATTTTGATTTTGTTACAGGTATCAAGATGATGAGATTACGAATGAAAATTCGCAAGAAAATTCGGTGAAGTTCAGAACAAAAAACATTGCGACTACTACAATGTGACAGTGAAGTGAAACAGAACATCAGGACGACAAATTTAAACGATATTCAAACAAAACAAAAATACTCTCGCATAATTCTCTTGTACACGTAGATTTAAAAGTCAAAAATAAGTGCCAATAACAGTGCAAATCGAAAAATAACAACAAATTTTTAATAAACAATTTTATTAGCCAACACACTCCAACGAACTATCAAAACGCAACGACATTTAAAAAACAAAGTGCCACCACTGCCAACAAACTTTTGAAAAGAGAACAGTTCAAAAAAGTGTTAGTAACAGAAATAGAAAACAAACGAGTGTCGTTTAGTAATTGAAGACGGTTTTCATTAAAATTCGAAATTGGAATCAGTGAAACAAAAGAGGAGTTCTGAGTGTTTTCTTTTTTATTTTTTCTTTTTTTTTTATTGCTGGCTTCGGATTTAAAGTGTCACAAACTGTTAGCCACATGATGGATCTGCACGCACCACCCCTAGTTGTTCATGGCTATGAACCCCATGCCCCCCTGTTAGAAGTGGAGGGTTTGGACCCACATAGTCCTCAGCAGAAGGTGTTAATTCACGCGCCTACTCTGCAAAGTCAGGATTTAATCACCAGTGACCATCGGAATGGAGGTTGGTCGTGATTTTTTTATTAATTTTTAATTTGATAACGTTTATTGAAAATTTTAGCTTAAACAATGTAGTGGAACAAAAAAAACATTTATCTTTGTTCTAAAGAATGTGCGCTGCGTTAGCGGGTCACTGAGCAGACGTCCGCGCCGCGTGTAGTTTTTATCTCATTTAATGGAACGCCGTAGACTCGTCTCACGCAGCGTAGCTCTATGAAATAAAATGAAACAAACACGCGGAGCGGACGACCGCTCCATGCTCCCGCTTAACGCAGCGCAGGCTCTAAATATTGTTCTGGCAATATATTTAAAAAAATGCAAATTACATTCATCGCCTTATTACTAAACGAGGATTATGCTTAGACTAGTTACGCTTTTTAAGTTTTGTTCATATCACTCAAATGCCATTTCTGTTCGATCAACAGAGACAAAACATGGAGTACCTAATCCAAACTTATTTATAGTTTATTAATAAGGTCATTAGAGATTAGATTTTTTATGAAGTTGAAATATCTCAAAGCTAGAATTTCGTTTCGTCTTATGACTTTTGAAATCTACATACTTTAACCCAAAATAAAAAATATAGATTTTCTGTTTATTAGCTGCTTACATTAACTTTAATGCTTACTTAAATTGAAACTTTTCTTAGTATCGAGAGCAGATGTGTCTTATCTGACGTAGAGTACGACTTTTCAGATGAGCAGTACCACGCGCACAGCAGCAACCAAGGAGGCGATGGTGAGTACTTAAAACAATCATAAATGTGAAGTAACCTTTCGCTTGGTTAGGAAGGAGATGGGTGGAAAAATCCGAGACTGCAAAGAGACACAGATAATCATTCATAGCGCAAACTTCATTGTGTAATTCAGTACTTACTTGACAATGTTTCTCTTACTGAAATGTCAAAAGAAGTTTTTTATAATCTATACTATTTTTTTTTAGTTTTATTCTTCTCTATTGAGAAAGGCAAAGACAAAGCCATGCAGCCATCGTCTTATTTTTGTATTAATCTTCCTTTTTTTTACATAAGAATGTGGGTGTGACACATTCTAATGCTTATTGGAGTGTTTGGCACGAAATATATCGAGTTGGCTTTTTCGATAAGCTTTTGTGAGGTAGTCTATACTACAATAAAGTTCACACGTCCATTTGACCGGAATAGCGTATATTCTAAAGATTCCACTAATTCTTCAGTTGCGCAGTCGGTTGTAACACAATATCACACCAATTTTATTTCACAATATCCACTATGAACAAATTTAAGAGTAGCTAATTAAAATAACACGCTCACCACACTCGATGAAATCCCGCCAAAAACTCCCTCTATACTATTATATAATGATAAGGAATGACAACTATTAATGGTATAAGGTTAGAGCAGTCTTCAGTTTACCGAATATACATCTGTCTTCTTCTTTAACTACTTACTTCTTTATACATTCTATACTATATATACTCTATACTGTCACACGTATAGAAGGAGACGAAATGATACACTGACTGACTCATCTTGACCTATTTTAAAACTTATTTCACTAATAGAACGATTTATTGTAAATTCATTATGTTTCCATAGTATTTATTATTAAAACACCCGTGTGAAGCCAGGACGGGCCGCTAGTATCTGTATAAGTATGAAATTTCTTCAAAATAGTAAAGTTAAACACTAAATTATTAGATATCCAAACATCTATGGTAATTTCAAAAACGACCCTTTAAAGCACTTGCCTTTAGTAACATAAACTGCTCAAACTTTTTTTTTTTTACCAAATACCTACACGTCAATCGGCGCAAATGGATAAAAAAATGTGTTCCAAAAGCTGTCCTGTCAGTAGTGTCTGTGCGGAAAGAGAATGGACGTGGCTAAAAACGGAACTAACATTAAGATATTTATTTGGCATTCAAACTGTCTGTCCAAAAAAACCTGTAAAACGTCAAAGTGATATGGATTTGTTTATTGTTGTGATTTCTTGCGGTTTTTTGTATTTTATCATGTCTAAAAGGGGTAAAACCTTACAAACACGGTAGAAAAGCACTACAGCGCCATCCAATCTAAATCCCATGCTCTTTCCGCACAGACTCTACCATACATTCTTCTTATTATTCTGACTTATGGCGCGATTGCATTTGGTCGCTAGCCCGAATAAGAGTGCCAATGGAATTCGGGCAAACGACTAAGTATAAATTAACGAAGTACGCCCGTATTGTGGAAGATTTTCTTATGTTTACCCGACACCGTGTTTCAGCCCCTATTCCAGTGTAAATATTGCTTCGGGTGCCCGAATTCGAGTAATGTACTTCGTGCACCCGACTACGGGATAACTGCCAAATGTAATTGCGGCATTATTAAGGTGGATGTTCTAAACGTAGTGCTTCATTTAAAGCTTTCTCTCTTCAATAGATTTCACTTGACACCACCTGTCATTATTCAATCTAAAAGCATCCACATTTCATTTTCAACATACTAAACGCCGTCAAACACCTCAGCAGCGATACCTCTATAGAAATATGCACACTATCAACATAGCAGACAATGATAAGATTCAATTTTTTCAATGGGTCACTTATCATTGTGCGGCTCAGATTGTGTACGTCCAGTATAAATATCAATAAGGGTGCGGTCGCGATGACAGCGGCGATGGCTGGAGTAGCGGTTGTTAGGAAAGTAATGTACCATACATGAGGAGTTGGTTAGCGCGGGTGGCTAGCGCGTTAGGCTGCGATCGTTGAAGTTAAGCTACTTTTGCAGTGGTCGGTCATTAGATGGGTGACCAAAAATCTTCTATCTCCAGTTCCTCCGTGCTTTAGAAGGAACGTTAAGCTATTGGTCTAGGCTGCATCTGCAGTCGTTAGCACCCGCTAATCCGCACTGGCCGCACGAGGTGGGTCATGGCCCAATCTCCCTATTCCATCCATAGGGAAGGCCTGTGCCGCAGCAGTGGGGACATTAATAGGCTGATGATGATGTACCATACATTACTTCAGTGGCAGGCAAATACATGTAAATCCCTAAATGGGGCCAGGTTCTTTCTTCAAAAAAATCTTTTGAGACGAATCCCTCACTAAGCCTCCCAGATTGAGAGGCTTTTTTAGTTTCTCAATAAGACAACATGTTTTTTGACATCTAAACTGACGTTTTGTTGTTATTAGCAACTGATGTAGAATCTCATGATGTGAGGAAAATAAAAAGAAAAAATCCGTTTATAAGCTTAGTATACAACGCAAATAGAATTTGGAGTTTTACACCTGCGAAACACATATTGCCAGAAGAATGCTTCTACGAAGTTTTATCAAAAATCGAACAAAATACCTGTACGGAAATGCTATCCCGCCTATATTCCGCTGCAATCCGCGCAACTAATCGCGTCATGTGAACGTCCGTCATACAAGTAGACAGCGGAACCGGTGCGAGTGAATTGCGTCCGGTGTCCCGCGCGTGTTTCGGCTCAATTTGAACGAATCTCAACAGTGAAGTAAGGCGGTTCACATACTGCACTACGCCATGTGTAGCGCGTGAGCGAAGATTTTAACGTTGTATGCAAGTATCAGTCTGTCTAGAAATCACGCAACCAACCACTAACTCACCAAGTACCGCCTCGTGCTAAGCGTCGGCTCGGCGCGTTCCAAGTGAGAGAATTGACTAAAAAGCATAAGCTTTCTGGGTGAATTTGTGCACTTTCATCTATCTTTGCCATATGACAGCATATGTAGAATAGAATGGAAATAAATTTATTAGCCTTAAACATAGTCTTATTAACATAAATATCATCATCATCATCAGCCTATTAATGTCCCTACTGCTGGGGCACAGGCGTTCCCTATGGATGGAATAGGGAGATTGAGCCATGACCCAACACGCAGGCCCAATGCGGATTTGTGGGTGCTAACGACTGCAGATGCAGCCGGGACCAACGGCTTAACGTGCCTTCCGGAGCACGGAGGAGCTCGAGATAGTAAATTTTTGGTCACCCATCCAATGACCGACCACTGCGAAAGTTGCTTAACTTCAACGATCGTAGCTGAACGCGCTAACCACTTGCGCCATCGAGCTCCTCATATATATAACATAAATATAACAAGACGAAATAGGCCAACTAGGTCCCTGCCTCAGCTTAAGGCAGAAAGAAAGCTTAAGGCTGCTGCAGCGCTGATGATTCTGGCAGGGCCTAAGGTCGATGATACAGTTTTTTTTTTAAGTTATATGCATGTATGCAGTATTACTTCATATGTTAGGAGGAGTAGAACATTTAATAGGACTACCTACTTTATATGTTTTTCATTTGTGTGCGATGACAAATATTACTCACTGATTAACAAAAATCTTTAATTGACTTGAAAATATAGATATTTTACAATTATCTTTCCAATTACACAAAAAATATAAAGTTTGCAATATTTGCTACAATTATGATATTATCCTGTATACGTTGCAAGCCATAAGTTAGGTTATTTGACAGGTTTTCGAAAACGTGTGTATGTTATTTATTAGTGTATAGTAACTCCATAAAAAGGATGTTTACAATTATGTTGCGTATATCTGACTGAAGTGAAACTTCTTTAGCTCCATCTGCATATATATATATATATATATATATATAGTTTTACGAACGTACCAAAAGAAATCATTTTTTCTTTAATTTACAAGATTCGCTACTCGCTATCATAAGCGCCACACTACGAATAATATAACAAAACGTAGCTCTCAAACACGGCGAGCCAACTAATTTCACACCGATTTAGGCAAGTGTACTCGCACAAAAAATGGTCCATTCACTCGAGCACTCGACTCTCCGGCGAGTCAGAAATGAAACTGAATGAAGCCATAGCCCACAGATTAATTAATAGCTCGCCACTGGTTTTGTACGGGCACACATCAATATCATATTTTAAAATCTTTTATTAAGTACTACAGGATAATGTATAGAATTATAAATTCGAAAGTTACTTAATATGGGGCCGTTCAAGTATTACGTAAGCAGATTTATTACAATTATTTACCCCTTTTCAGCAAAAGTAAGCAAAGCTCTTACCATAGAGTAAGGTACAAATATTAAAATCTTATTAAGTACTATTACAAACAAAACAAACTTCTTTCGAATTTTTGGTATACATATCAATTTCAATTAACAGTATTCAGTCCATGGCACCTGAATCCATGATGCTGACGTAATAGGGATGATGACTAATTTTTTTATCTTCGTTTATCAGGTAGATTATCAAAAAATATTGGACACGTATTTTTTCGTTTTTCACATAATATAAACATTGCAGAGATATATTGATTTGAAAAGTCGCATGACGTCACGCTTGAGTACACTTATAAGTGAAAATTCACTCAAAAGTGACGTCACGAACCCCTACTCCCAAACTTTGACGCGCTATAACTTTGTAATTTTTTGGTTGATTGCCCAAAGAAAAAATACGTGTCCATTATTTTTTGATCATCTAACTGACGGACTAAATAGAATTTCGTTTACTGTACCCCGTCATCACCCCTATTCTTAGCCTTAATCAAAACCCAAAGCTATGCTGATGAGATAAAGAATGAATGGACGACTACCGCTATAGCCCCCGCGCATGGAGTCACGCGCAACGAAAGCGAAAATGCGAGCGCTAATAAAAAAAAAACATTACGCTGGCGACGCGCACACCGCACTGCGCCGGCGCCTTTGATATGTTCACAAGTCTTGACTTATTCAGAACGTATTTCATTAAAAACGAAGTAAAATACAATACTT